GGCTCCCCCCTCCTGTCAGGGAGTTGTAGAGAGTGAGGAGGTCTCCCCTGAGCCTCCTCTTCTCCAGGCCTTCCCAAGGGCATTCCCAGCAGATCCGGAGCGTTCCCGGGCAGGACTCACCTTGTAGTCGTAGCCGGCGCTGAAGAGGATGTTGTTGGTGGTCGGGTGCCACTCGACCAGCCCCACGCGCCGGCTGTGCCCGTAGAGCTCCAGCACGGCCTCCGTCATGTTCCTCTTCAGCCCCCCCTCGGGAATCTCCCAGATCCGCACCTGTGGGATGGGGCGGGTGCTGGAATGGGTTTGGAAGCCCCAGGACACCCCAACACCCTCCTGGGGGCTCTGAGCTGCCGAATCCCTGGGGTGCCTCCATGGCAGCCTCACCCCACACCCTCATGCCACAATGTCCTTGTCCCAGGTCCCTCTCCTCTGGCAGTGGGAAGCCATTCCCTGTGTCCTGTCCCTCCATCCCTTATCCAAAGTCCCTCTCCTGCTCTCCTGGAGCCCCTTTAGGCCCTGCAAGGGGCTCTCAGGTCTCCCTGGAGCCCTCTCCTCTCCAGGTGAACCCCCTCAGCCCTCCCAGCCTGCCAAAGGCTGATCCTGCCGCCCCTTCAGCCACTCCTCCCTCTCTTCCCCCCCACCCCAAGGGTTGTCCCGTCCATCCGGGAAGGGGGGCCCACAAAAATTAGTTCCCAATTATTGCAGTGAAAAACCTGCAGGAGGATTTCCTGCCTGTTTCGAGGAGGGAGACCCTGCTCTTGGGGCGCAGAGGGAGGGGAGCTGTGAGACAGGCACGGCTCCGAGGCTGCTGTGGCTCCAAGGGACAATTCCAAGAGCATCAGAGGATTTCAGACACGGCACAAGCCGAGGACAAGTCACACAAGCCGAGGACAAGCCACACGAGCTGAGGACAAGCCACACGAGCCTGGTTGTTGGGTGTTGGAGGAGCTGGTTATGAAAGCAGTGGGTTATGAAACAACTGTTACCAAACCTCCTGCTCAGGGAGAGCTCCACACTCCGGAGAGGCTCCTGCAGCACCAACCCAGGAGGACACAGGGAAAACTCCATGTGGTGTCACCTCAGCTCTGCAGGGCAGGCAGCCCGGGGATGGGAATAACACATCCTGCATCCCTGCCCAGCTGGGAATCACGGCCAGGGCTCTGCAGCAGCGTCACCTCTGCGGCCTGTCCCGGTTACATCATCCCTTGTGTTTGCCAAAAACCAGGGGAAGTGCCAGGGACGGGCTATTTTGGGCAGGTTTCCCCACGGCCACGGTCACCGTGACCTGGAAATGGATGTGTCGGGATGGGCACAGCACTAACACTGCCCTCTTGGCAGGACAGGCACAGCTGGAGCTCACCCAAAATTCAGCCCAGCCCGCCATGGAAACGGTGCTTTGGGAAAAGGCTCATTAAAAAGGCCCCAGAGGAACAGTCCCAGCAATAATTCCAGCACACAGGGAGAGCAGGAGGGGTGGGACACAGAGGTTTCCTCTCTCAACCCATCCTAAGAAACCTCCTCGATAAAATTGTTCCTGAAACACCACTTTCCACAAGGAAATGGATCCTGCAAACAGGACACTGTGCTGCAACCCCCCCTGGAGCTCTGCACAGCTCAGTGTGCACAGAGAGGCCCAACACGTGGGAAACAAGGAGCTGAAACACTTCTGGAGTCTGGAGAATTTCCCTGTTCCCCTTCCTGGTTTCTCCTGCCCTTAAAAGCTCCTTCCCAAAAAAAGCCTTCACAGCATTTCAGGAATTCCAGGGCAAGCCCTGCTGCTGATTGTGCAGTGAGGACAAATCATGAATGCCTTGGAGAGCATCTGGGGAGGACAGGGGCCGTTATCCAAGTGGGAACAGAGAGATGGATCAGGTACAGATGGATCAGGTACAGATGGATCCAGGTTTGACAGCAATGGGTAAATCCAGGAGGGATTCCCAGCACAGGGATAACCCTGTGGCCTGTGACAGTGATCCCTGTCCAGTCCTGGGCCTGGGGGAAAAGTTATTTTCCTGAACCTTATTGAACTTCCTGGGAGTGAACAGAGAGACCCCAAAAGTGCAGGACCACCAGACATGGGGTGTCACCAGGAGCCCACCCAGTGCAGGGCTCCCCTCCAACTCATCCCCACGGTGGGGAACCCCCACACTGACATCCTCATCCTGATTTCCCAGTTTAACCAGGCTCCTGGAGTGCTCCCAGTGCCCCCCACCGCTCCCAGCTCCTCCCCTCCCTGGTGCCTGTGTATGAAAGGTTCTCCTGGTGGGACACAGCTCTCCGTGACCCATGGCTGGATTTTCCCCCTCCCAGAACCCCCCTGGACAAGCCTCCAGCTGACAAGAAATGCCAGTTTGAACCGGATCAGGAGGAGGCATCAGGTGGAACACAGGATCTGCAGAGGCAGGTTTGTCACCGGATAACAGCTGGATCACCCCAAGCCTGGCATTTGGCAGCGCAGGGCAAGTGATGGATCCTGATCTTCCTCTTCCTACCCCAGCTTTTATTCCCTTAGGATACTTCCCTTAGGATACAGCCTTTGGGATGGATCACAGAATCAGGGAATCCCTGAGGTTGGAAAAGCCCTCCCAGCCCATGGATCCCCCCTGTGCCCGGTGCCCACCTTGTCCCCCAGCCCAGAGCACTGAGTGCCA